ATTTGTAGGCTCTCTCCAAACCATTGGGACAGCAAAGCGCATAGACCGTTTTTTGCCATTTATCCAGCTCCTCAGACTTGAAGCACATGAATTACAGCAGATGTGAGGTGCCCACTGTTTGTCTTGATCACCTAGTTTACAACCGAAATAAAGCTGATATGCCTTTGTTATTAGTGGAGTAATAGACCGTCTCTGAAACGCAAAAGTCACATCACCACACGTAACAAAACTGATCTGGATTGTTTACACACTTTCGAGACATCTTGCATGAACGCTGTCAGCCAACTGAGGAAAAAATGGCTAATATAAAAGAATATATTGTACACGTATGTATAACGTAACACAATCATGCCGATTACATCATCTTTCCTTGCCGAATATAAAAATGTAGCACGTGCATTCTTGTGAATTACAGTATATTAACACTGTCACAGCAGGAACACATATAATTACCGTATCTCTAAAACTTGAACTAATATTGAAAAAATAAGTTTCATTCCGGTTTAAGCACATTAAAAATAGTAATATTTTGTTGATTTTATTTAGGATATTTTTTGGCTGTTGATCAGTGTTATTATTATTTCGAAAAACTGGAGAAAGGGTTGTGTTAAGTGTACGAGCCCCTTCCCACTTCAGTTGGCCCAACTATTGAAATCTTAGTTTTTTTCTTATTAAAAAATAAAATAAATAATAAAATAATTAAAATGTAGCAGGGTGTTATAGGTTTAAAATATTAACAATGAATATTTTGATGATATATAGTAGAAAACACCAACTTTATCACTCCCTAATCAAATTTGCAGCATAAAAATAACAAATGTTGCAATTACGGCATATCAACCGATTTTCATTTCAATGCAAAATAAGTCTATAACGCATAGGTGGCTATGAAAAATAAAAGCCATGACAATTGTTTTTATTAATCACAGCTGTCAGAATACGTTTAAAATAGTTTTGGGTAGTTTTCAAAATGGGTAGAGGTTATTAGTGAGAAAATTCGGTTACTGATAATTAAATTTTTTAGTTCTGGGAAATCAAACTCAGAAATTGCAAATTTGTTAGAGTTATCGCGGTACAGTGGGAGAAATATTGTTAGAAGGTATAACGTAACTGGTTCAGTTAATATTAAGCCACGATATGTGAAAAAAAGTAAATCACAAATACCGACCGAAGAGCATTAAGAAGAATAATCGTGAAAAACAGGCGTGCCAATTATTTACAATTAAGTGCTCTGTGGAGTGACGATGTTGGAAGGAGAATCTCGAGGTCCACAACTCATAGAGAGGCCCACAAACTGGGATTTAGCACTTGCAAGGTAAAATTTCTTATAAAAAAAAGTGAAGTAAAAAACCTAAAGTTGCACAACTTGTTTATAGGCCAAAGAAAAGCCACTATTAACTCCACTGCAAAAGAAGAATCGGCTTAGATGGGCTAAAGAACATAGACAATGGACACCTCAACAATGGTGTGCCATACAATGGAGTGATGAGGCCTGATTCGAAGTTTGTGTTGGTGACAGTCGCAGTAGAGTTATTCGCAAAAAAAATGAAGCATTCCATGTTGACTGTCTGAAGAGAAAAGTGAAATTTCCAGCATCCATTATGGTCTGGGGCAGTATGTCATCAAAAGGAGTAGGAAAACTTCATTTTATTGATGGAAATGTGGATACAAACAAATATTTGGCAATTTTAGAAGAATCGCTTTCACCAGTGATGGGAGAATGTTTGACATCCGGCCAAGATTTTGTGTTTCAGCAAGATGGTGCAGCGTGTCATACCTCAAAAAAGGCTATAAAATGGATGGAAGAAAATAATGTACCACTTTTGAAATGGGTTTCTAGCAGTCCAGATCTGTCACCTATTGAAACTTTGTGGCACGAGATGAAAAAGGTTCTACGACAACATCCTGCTCGTACAATCACCGAACTGAGACAAATGCTTCAAGAAATATGGGATTGTTTTACACCAAATTTTTGCCAAAACTTGGTTAACACTATGCCTCAAAGAATTTCAGCCGTAATAAAAAATAAAGGTGATGTTAACCAATGGTAATCTTTCAATTGTTGCTTTGTTAACTTCGCGCATTTATTCGCACATTGTTTATTTGTTCAGATGTTCTATTAGTTATAGGTCTAAGTGATTTCAAATATGTATTTTTTACGACTAGAGTGTATCTAAAATGTTATTGAGAAAATAAATTGTTTTAGAAGTAAATAGTTTCGTCATGTTTAGTTTATAAAGGCATATTTTGGTACAAATCTTGAAGTGGGCTAACTGAAGTGGTATAACAATATGCTCATATTTCATAAATGCCCCCGAGATAGCAATCAAACAGTGTTAAATCTTGTATGCTTTTCACGTCCAGTCGTATTGCCCATAGGAGAATAAATCTGCCAAAACCATGGCATCGATAATGCTCGGGATTTTCCAAAAACGCCTGTTTGACTGTGCCACTGCCATTAAAGCTATGAAGACGTCGTCCGCACTGCGACTGAAGCGGATAGGCGCCGGAAATGATCCGCACTGACAGAGAGTATAAAAGGATGAGGTGTGGTCTCGTCCATAAGGGAAGGAAATGTACCGAGAAGCCTTCGAAATTAGAACTGTAGGTGGCGAGAAGCTTGCTTGCATATGCTCCGACTCACATACGCCAGAAAGCGTGAAAATGAAAATTTAACAATGCGATGAATGCTCGGTGCTTCGGTTTGTTACTCTTGGTAATGACGGTACTAGATTAGAACACCATGTTCGCAGTCACAATGTCGTATCAGTGTTGGCAAAAAATGGTCGAATTTGGGATTTTTATATTTAAAGGGCCGGTGAAATATATACTAAACCAAAAAATTAAGGAGTCTAGAAAAAATGCAAGTTTTTCGTTGATTTTTGAGAGGCTGTATTTAGGTGAAAAATGGTCGTATCTAGACTTTAAAACAAGCATTTTGAAGCTTTAAGATTCTAGTTTTCAGGTTTATAGCCGACTGTTTTATGACAGCACCTGCCAGCAGTTTTTTCGCGGCAAAACTTGACAGCTGTTGTCACCAAAAGTTACAATACCTTCGAGACCAAATTATTATTGTCTCCCAGGTCACCAGAAACGATTTTTCTGATGTTATTGCCAATAAATTTTGTAATAGTGTTTTTAAACACTGCTAGACAGCAAAGTGGGTCGCTTTGGAAGTGATTCTTTGACTAATACTGATCTGGCAATTGAGAAGCGTATACTTGTACAGTACCGTTAAAACCTATACGTCAATATGGATCCAGTTTACGGAATTCTGCAAGGCAAAGAAATACGAGCTTTTGGAAACTCGTTTGGAGCAACTAAACCTAGACCTGCAAGATTGGGCGTGGAATATGAATAAATAAAACGGTGAAAATTAATAATATTGCTTGTAAAAAATTTTGGGAGCAACGGTCCCCATGCAATTTTCATACATAGCGCAAGAACCATGTCATTTTAAAATAACATATTTGCATAAGTGTGTATTTTATTAAATTTGTCAAAGAGATCAGACAGTTATTAATATACTAAGTGACATATAAATCCGAACACCCAGTTTAAATGGTTTTATTTTAATAAAATTTTGTATAAGTACTTAATGATTGCACTGCTTTAAAGCCCTTTGACCTTTAATAATGAGTGGATGCACAATGATGTGCTACGCATTCTCCAACGCGACTAGGCATGCTTCTGATCAGGTGGTCAGGGTCCTCCTGTGGTATCTCATTCCAGGCAACCACCAACTCCTCTCGAAGTGCTTCTAGAGTCTGAGGAGGACATTGCAAATTGAGCAATCTCCTACCCATCATATCCCACACGTGCTCAATTGGGGATAAGTCGGGAGATCTTGGTGGCCATGGTAACAATGTGACATCATTATGTTGAAAGAAGTCTGTTGTGACTCTTGCAACATGTGGTCGGGCATTATCTTGTTGGAAAGTTGGATCTGCCAGGGTGTCAAGATAGGATAAAAGATGGGGTTCTAGAACTGCGTGGATATAACGCTGCGCGTTCATGTTACCTCTGATGAAGATTAAAGGTGACCTGGAACCATAAGCTATAGCACCCCAAACCATAACTCCAACAGTGTGATGAACATGTCTTTCAACAAAAAACTGTGGATTCCTCCTTTCACCACGTCGCCTTCTAACCCGGGTACGACCATCGTGCATGCCTAAACAAAATCGAGTCTCGTCACTAAAGACAATACTGTTCCATTCCTGATCCCAGAGTGACCGTTGTCTACACCACTCAAGGCGATTACGTCGGTGTTCTCGAGTTAAAGGGAGGACCCAGTGTGGCCGGTATGAAAACAAGCCAAAACTTCTCATTCGTCGGTAAACACTTCGCATGCCAATAGGTCTTCCGTGTTCTGCAAACCATTCATTTGCAATGGACCTGGTAGTGGAGAAACGGTCCCTTAAGGCCAATAATCTTAGGCGGCGATCTTCACGGTCTGTTGTTCTATGGCGGCGTCCAGTGCCCCTTGCTCTTTGCGTACGGCCTTCTCGAAGCCATGCCTGACAACACCTAACCACAGCGTCTACACTTCTTTGCACTCTAACTGCAATTGCCCGAAAAGAAAGTCCAGCTTCCCGAAATCCCACTATACAGCCCCTATCAAACTCACAAATCGTACAGGTCTCCGTACTCTAGGCATCGTAACCGATCGTAAAGGATATCAAGAACCAAAATCCGGCAACGTTGATTCTTTACTGCGGCTGAAATATTCATTTTTAGATCGTTAGTGAATTAAAAAAAAGCAGTATAAAAACCGGAATGTCCAACTGACAAAGCTGAAAATTTTTTCACTTGTTATTTACAGTAAGATAAATACATTCACCAACTTTTATTAAAATTCAACCATTTAAACTGGATTTATATGTCACTTAGTATATTAGCAGGAGGATCATGACCCCCATGCCCTCCTGGATCCGCGCTTGTACCTGATGGCGCACCTAAGTTTGTCAATTAATGTTTTTATTCTAGTCGGCAATCCATTACCTTAAAGTGGATGGTAAATCAAATTCGTCATGGGTAATAATGATTCTACTTACTTGTATGACCCTCATCGGCAATCCCGTTTCTTTCGCGAGCTGCTCCCTGATATGTCTCGTAGGTTTCGGCGTTTGACTGAACGCCGTCTTCAGAATCTCCAGTTGTTTCGCTTTGATCGTCGTCCTGGGCCCTCGACGTTTCGACCCCGCACTGCTGTCATCCGGACTTTTGTTTTCCGTCTGGGAGTCCCGCGTTTCCGGGTCGCCGTCCAGCGAGTTTTGGTCCTCGGAATCGTCCTGACCCGTTTTCGAGTCCTGGAAGTTATGTGGCTTGTAACGCATACTTACATTACATGTTACTCAAGGTCATTGTACCTTTTTTTAAAAAATCAAAGATAATTGATTTTTTCGATTGAATCGTGATTTGTATTTATTTTTTCCTCAAATATGGCCAAAAATACTTGTTATATAGATTTATAGTAGACACACAGCTTTTTTCAGAAAAGACTCAGCTTCTTCCATAGGGCAGTGTCATCGATCCCCTTTTGTTTGTTTATATTACTAATTCTGTAACAACAACAAACACTAAATAACAATATAATTAGTAATAAGAAATTATAAAAAATAATAATTTATATAAGAAACTTTTCCCTATATTCCTTGTGTGGTCCAGTGGACCACCAGTTAAGTGGAAATTTTTTTTCTCGCAAAAAAGACATACCTAGTTGCTTAATCCAATGAGCATATTAAAAATGGCAGAACAGTCAGAAATGTTCGTTCAGATCCCGATCGAAACACCACTGGCCAGTTAGGGCTAAATGAGCTCCTTAATTTTATAAATACCACCGCCAAATTACAACAAAATTAGGCAAAAGATATTTAAGATATTCATGAAATAGTTTTTTCTATATCTTGAGAACGACCTTTTTGTCTGTTAAATTTATAATACATACTTAATGGTTAATCATTGGATTACAGTAATTCTATAATCATTGATCTTATCTTAAGCTTCTGATAAATAGTCAGGTGCAAACGGTGTGAGAATTACCGTCGCAGTCCAGTTTGCCAGTAATTAATCATAATTAACTGGTTACTTTTTCCGTTTGTACTTGAACATCAAGCATTGTGGAAGCATGCAACATTTGCAATGAACGATTAGCTTCTAGTGCGATGCTGAACAGTCCTTAATCAGAACATGAAATCTTGCGTTCACTGTGAAACGAACCAGTTAACGATGATTCTCTCGGGAATAATTTATCCCGTACTTGGATATCATAATTCTTTTTAGCCTTGTTTACACTATTTCTTTAACGTGTCTAGATATATCGCATGGCTAATGACCGTAGGTGAAGAACCTTGTGCACTTAAGCTACGGTGATATGAATGAAGAACATTATACCCACATACATACACAATAAATTACGCAGAACATAATGAAGAAATATAACACTTGAAAACATTGATCCAGAATAAGTAGTTATACTGGGAACAGAATAACGTTAATACTGTTGAAATTTGGGTGAAATGTCTAAGAAATCTAAGTAATTTTAACAGCCGATAGAGACAGAAGCTTTTTGCCACAAATGTCAATTAATTTGTGCTAGGATTATTACCGAATTAGATACATATGATGGACATTTCATATTGACCGATATTTTTGATCACAGTTTGAAAAATGTACAACCCTCAACTCCGTTTGTTTGTGGTATTGTCAGATGCGTAAGTATCTCTAAATGCACAACAAAACTAGGGCTCAATTTCGAGGTCTTGCCTCATTTTTATCCGCGCACAATATACAGGGTGGCGCATCAAAAACGAAACTGAAGCTCGTATATTTCAAATCATTATAAAGGGAATTGACAGACCTTTAAAATAAGGTATCACTCGACCCCCTTTTTATTTAAGATTTTAGGGTTGGTGTCACCCCCGCCCAGGGGGCTGCACGTGTTAACGTGATTTTTTGCGAAACTTGTGTCCCTCTCGAAAACAAAATCGACGGATCTGAGCGTTTTTCCAAAAAAAAAAACCCGTATATAATATGAATTCTCGTAGTTATCTCAAGGTGAATGATATTTCATTTTTACGTTTATTTATCTAGTATGCGATATCATACCTGTCCTATCGAACTGCTGATATCTGAATGCGGGAGGGAGTTGTTGTTAGTTTCTCCAGGTGCAGGGGGGAGGGAGCCATGGAGGGGGTGGTGTTTTAATACTGACGACGCTGTGCTATTGTCATCATCCTCTTCGTCTTCTGATGCCGAGCCCATTAGCGAATCTGCAACAAAGGAAATTATAATAATAATAATAATAGACGTCTTTATTTATCCACAATTACATTGTAGTATAGCCAAATGTCAGACTTGTATGGCGAAGTTTAGCATGCTGCTACTCTTACACTTAACCATATAGTCTCTAGCAGATGTTCAAAAGAATACACTATCCACAAACAGATTTGGTTCATTACATCGAAAGTAAAATTTAAAAAAAAAAGAGACACTGATGCTGTTCATCACTACCTGCAATCCAATCGTCCCGCCGTGCTTTTCTTGGCGGAGACAAAAATCTCAGAGACTGCACCGATTAACCATCTCAACTTCCCAAACTACGAGGTGCACTCCAATCTGAGAAAGAACGGGGGAGTTGTGGCTTTTGTCCGCAGCAGTCTTTCCTGCTCCAGGGATCTTTCTTTGGAATCAGACCGGAAGGACATTCTGTGGCTTCGCCTCAACTCCAAACCATCACCCAAATTTATTTGCTGCCTTTATCGCTCTCCCTCGAACCATAACTGGGATGACCTACTCGAATACCTCGCCGTCCAGATCGACTACCTGAACATCAATCACCCCGCTTCAGAGGTAGTTCTTCTCGGTGATTTCAATGCCCATAATGAGCTTTGGTTGGGCTCAAATAAGACCGATGCAGCAGGTCGTGCAGTCGAAGCGTTCGCTCTTACTCAAGGGCTGACCCAGCTGGTGACGAGCCCTACTTTTTTCCCCCGGGTCTCGTCACACTCCAGTAGCCTGCTGGATCTCTTTCTGACCACGCATCCTGCCCCTTACAGCACTGCTGTCCTGTCCCCCCTGGGTAACTCAGATCACGGTGTTGTGGAGGTTAGGTTTCGGTCAGAAGCCGCTGTGGCAGCAGAAACTCGCACAGGCCGCAAAACTTGGCATTACGGCATGCCGACTGGGAGGGGCTCAGAGACTTGTTCTCTAGCTTTCCTTGGAGAGATGTCTGTTTCACTGACGCGGATGCGTCGACTGTCTGTTCTTCAATAACCGAAATTATCCACGTCGGAATGGAGGAATACATCCCTCACACAGTGAAAGTTCCTAAACCAGGGTCCAACGGCTGGTTCAACAAATCGTGTGACACTGCTCGCCAGCAGAAGATCAAGGCCCACAGAACCTACTTACAAAACCCCACTGTAGAGAACAGACAAGCCGACATCGAGTCCAGAAACAAATATAACGAAGCGGTCCGCAATGCCAAAACCCAGCATGATGTAAAAGTTAGGCACAGGGTAATGTCGCAGCGCAATGGCAGTCGGTCTTTCTGGACGCTGGCCAAGCAGATTGAAAAGAACTTCTCACACAGTAGCCTTCCACCACTTACGTGTCAGGATGAAACTATTGTATTCGACTCAAAGGCCAAGGCGGAAGTGCTAGCCAAGATCTTTGCTGCCAACTCCACCATGGACGTCCCCACCAACGCCCAAGTGCCGTCAATTCAAAGGGTTCCCCACACTATGCGGGAGGTAACATTCAGGCATAAGACCGTAAGACGAGTGCTCTTGTCGCTCGACACCAACAAAGCTTCTGGTCCGGACTTGATTCCTGCCATTGTACTGAAGAGATGTGCAGCTGAGCTTGCTCCAGTTCTTTCGCGTCTCTTCCAGATATCTTATGAATCCGGCACCTTCCCAGAAAACTGGAAATTTGCTCATGTACAGCCCATCCCAAAAAAAGGATCTAAAACCGACCCTTACAACTGCAGGCCTATAGCTCTGCTTTCTGTTATAAGTAAAGTGATGGAGAGGTGCATAAATCGCGAGCTTCTGGACTACCTCGAACGTCACAGCTTGATTAGCGACAGGCAGTACGGTTTCCGGCACTAACGATCCACAGGGGACCTCCTAGCTTACGTCACGCAACTGTGGAGTAAACTCATCCAGTCTCATGGTGAGGCTCATGTCGTTGCTCTTGACATCACGAAAGCGTTCGATCAGCTGTGGCACGCTGCCCTCTTGAGCAAACTTCCATCCTACGGGCTCCCAGAAAAGCTTTGCAGATGGGTGGCTGACTTTCTCTCTGGCCGCAAGATATCCGTCGTAATTGACGGATTCTCCTCTTCATCCCACAACGTCAACCGGGTGTTCCCCAGGGGTCGGTCTTGGCTCCAACACTGTTTCTCTTACATATCAACGACCTCCTTTCCTGCACGATCAACCCAATCCACAGCTTCGCTGATGACAGCACTCTGCATGCAGGGATTCAGAGTGACAAGCCGATCTCTGCCGCTGAGCTGGAAAAAAGAAGACTAGCGACGACTTCTTCTCTGACAAGAGACCTGGAGGCTATCACTGCTTGGGGACGCAACAATCTTGTACAGTTCAATGCTTCCAAAACACAGTACTGTACTTTGACGAACAAAAAGCGTCCTAGCGCTCATGCAGTTTCGATAGACGGTAGAGTTCTACCAAAGAGCCATTCATTTCGGCTGGTCGAAGTCCAGATCACCGAGGACCTGATCTGGCACGAACACATCTCTTCAACAGCTGCAGCTGCTGGGAAAAGGCTAGGCTATTTGTTTAGGGCTAAGAAGTACTTTTCTCCGCATGACCTTCTCACTCTATACAAGGCCCAGTTAAGGCCTAGCCTCGAGTATTGCTCACACATTTGGGGTGCTGCCGCCCCGACTACATTGTCCATGCTCGATGCTGTCCAGAGGAGGGCGGTCCGACTGATCGATGACTCTTCTCTAACAGACAGTCTCGGGACTCTTTCGCACCGGCGGGCCGTCGGCGATCTAGCTCTTTTCTATCGCTACACCAACTGGCTTTGCTCCTCAGAGCTCTCTTCCATGATGCCGCCGCGCGATGTGCCTGCCAGACAGACCCGCCTGACTTCGGCGTCCCATCCTAACCGTGTCAAACTTTGTACATCCAGAACTGGCCGATACGACCGCTCCTTTGTCCCGAGGGTGTCTAGATTGTGGAACAATCTACGGGAGGAAGCTTTTCCCAGTTCTACTAACCTTAGGCAGTTCAAAAATCGTATTAACAAAATTTCTTTGGGATCATCATAGCAGCCGCGGTGTTCCGGCATTTAGGCTTCTGCCTGCGCGGCTGTTTCGATATAAAAAAAAAAAAAAAAAAGAGAAAAAGGCATACTTTCCAAACCCAAATGCACCAAAAAATTATTAATCTGAATTACAGATGGAATAAAAAAGAAATGAATGATTACGTAAATTATATGTTTGGAGGGTTGAGTAATAATGTTTTAACTTTTTGTCGAAAGACAGGTAATGAAAATTCTTATAATAATAGCAACATTGTAAGAAAAACTGCGTTTAAAAAGTGTAGACGTATGCAGGGGTATTCTAATATTATTTTCTCTGAGAGTTCTACAGTGAACATCATTATTAAATGACATTTTTTCCTTCAAGTAATAAGGTTTAGACGTGAGCAGTAATTTGTGAACAAAAACTGAATAGTGATACTTGACCATGTCATTAATTTTTAACCAGTTTAAAACGGGATATTTCGCCGATACATGATCAAATTTACGTAAGCCAAAAATGAAGCGTGTACAATTGTTTTGAATAACTTGAATAATGTTTTTAGTGAAATTGTCTAAACAAGTATAGTATACGATATTACAATAATTTAGTATAGATATGACCAATGCTTCACATAGTTTTTTACGCATCTTAAAATTTAGTAAATACCTGTTGGCTATAAGAGTGCGCAGCCGTAGGTAGGTTTTCTGAGATAGACTTTTAACATGTTCAATAAACCTTAATTTTGTATCAAAAACAACACCAAGAATTTTTGCAGAATCAGAAAATTGCAAGATTTGGTTATTTATCTGAATGTTCAAGAGCTGTGTTACATTGTATGTTTTTCTTTGTGCGCAAAATACATATAATAACATTTTAGATTTTTGTGGATTAATAAGTAGATTGTGATCTAAAGAGTATTTAATTAATTTATTAACATCGTTTTGTAAAATTTGAGTAGTATTATTGACATTATCTGGGTTAAAATAATGAAGCAATTGCTTATCGTCTGCAAACGACTGGACATGAGAATTATCAATACTTTTGCTTAAGTCGAACGAATATATGAGGAACAGAAGCGGCCCCAATACAGAGCCCTGAGGTACGCCTGAGGGAATTATTGTCACTTGAGACATTTCTTGATTGAGAAAAACACACTGAGTTCTTTGATGAAGGTAACTGTCGAAAAATGAAAGGGATACACTTTCAAGACCTATGTAATTTAATTTAGCAAGTAATAATTTATGATTGATGCTGTGAAAGGCTTTCGAATAGTCTATAGAGATTAAGGCTAGTGCCATTTTCTTATCTAAGGCACTTAAAATATTGTCTTGCAGATTAAGTAGGGCAGATATTGTACTATAATTTTTTCTAAATCCGGAGTGAGTGTCGGGAAGTATAAAGAATTTTTCTAGGTAAGCGGTCAATTGGAACTTTATAATTTTTTCTAAAATTTTGGACAAAATTGGTAATAAACTGATAGGTCTGAGATCATTATACTCAGTGGGTTTCATTTTTTTAGGAATTGGAATAATTAGAGCTTGTTTCCATGTGTTTGGAAAGTAGCCTTTTTCCAAACAGTCGTTAAAGATGTGGACGATGTGATGGAGAATAACTGGCAGGCAAAGCTGGATCATTGACAGGGATATACCATCAATTCCCTTCGCATCAGATTTTAGGCTCCCTATTGCCTGTAATACGTCATTTGAACTAATCATATTCAATGAAAAAATATATTCAGAGCTCAATTTATTTTTGAAATAGTTTTCGCAAACTAGTGAATCAACAGGTTTATAGCTATAAACAGACATAAAATAATCATTAATTTTGGTAGGGTCATTAAAACTTGCCGGAAGGGTTGGTTTACTACGAAAATTTATATCAAGTTGTTTGAGAGACTTCCATAATTTTTTTGAATCATTTTCATTTGCCAAATTTTCGATATATGTCTTTTTGTCCCTCCTGATCATGATAAGAGCACGGTTTCTAAGCGAAGT